TTATATTATATTATATTACACTCTGTGCAAGACCTGAAAATACTCAACATGCTCTAAAAGAGACTCATCGTGCTGGCTTTTATGACTGGTCTCACTGGAATTAATATCAATGGCGTAATAAGTCGCTGAAATTCAGGCTGAAGCTCATGTTATCAGACTTACACACACACATTTTCTCATTCTTAAGTTTACTTGTTGCATCTGCGCTTGCTTTCACATAGTGGCTGAGACCACGTTTTCCTAGTTGAGCCTTACAGATTTTCACAGCTTCCCCTCACTTTTTGTCTCCAGGAAAACAGTTATTATCACAGAACTGTGGTTATGAGAAAAGAAGGGTTTTTTTAATGGATTCTGAGTATCTTCTTCATGTGCACAGCAAAAGAATTTATGTAAATTATCTTAAAAGTTCTTGCAAATTTTATTCTGTCAATGAGCTTAAATGCTGTTCAAAGTTCATTAGGCATAATAAAATATATATCATAAATGCTGTAAGTAAGCAACAACAAAAAAAAAATAGATGGTTAGGGTATCGGGAGCATAATAAAATTTACTACTTCCAAATACCTTATCAAATAACGGGTTTTCCCTCCCCTTTCTTTCGGATGCTCACAGGATGTTTTATATAAGTATTTCCTTTAAAGATACTAGAATGTTTAATTCAGCTAAGCAAAATACTAAACTAGTTTTTATTCTCACTACTCTTTGGAAATCTGGTTTTGAAGAAAAAGATGTATCAATTACTTAAATGACTTAGTTTTGTGGTTTGGTCTGTTTGTTGGGGTTTTTTTCCCCTCTTGTATTACGCATATTCTTTTTCATTTTTGCAAAGTTCAATCTTTTGCATATGGACCACTACTACCTTATACCTGGGACTTCAAATGTCAACAGCTACATAATTTTATAAGGAAAGAAAAACCCAGAAAATATATTTTGAAATCTGTGTATCATAGTTTGAAGTCTATGCATCATATCTACTATCAGGTATGACAGGCAGCTACTAATAAGAGAAAAAAAAACCACAGAAATACCACAGTTTTTATCAGCCTTCACTCTCCCAGGTTTTCAAGGTATGGTTCCCCAACAATGGTCCATGATAAAGCTTTCAGCTTGGCCACCTCTGCTAAAAGATTTCTGTAGACAGGACAGCTAACATTGAGGCACTGCCAACTTTTTTACCTTCTTGAGGTCAGTGATATATTTTTGAATAAACAGTATCCTTAAAATAACCACAAAAGCCTGCTATTCATATAAAGGTCAGATTGAGTACCACCAAAATAAGTGCTGCAGATTTGAGGAAAACCACAATCAAACATTTATCAAACCATTTTTTGAGGGAGAAATTGACTGTCTGGACAAGAATATATCTCCTTGTCAACAAGCAACAATTCCCTTTGCAAGATGCTCTCTTTTCTTTAGTGTTAGTTTTAGTGTTAGAAGAGCTCACTGTTCCTTAGCCTACGCAGGTATCATTTCTCTTCTTAGATCATCACCTACATGGGAACTGAAGAATGTTCTATTCCGAAGTCCAAGTCCTAAAATCTCTGTCCTCCAATGCTGTGCTTAATTCAAGGCTAAGTAAGCGTAGACTTGGCCTGTAAAGAGATGCCCATGGCAAAATTTGTGCCCAAGCTTATCTGGCAGCACTTTTGTCTGTTGGTAGAGTCAAAGTGACGGGCAGCCCTCTGGAAGTAAGCTGCAAAGCAGTTTCATCAATGAAGGTGAGTGGATCATTGGGCATGTTTGTATTCAACACCAAAGTTTTCTTGGCCATCTCCTAGAAAACTTTCACATCCTTTTCTTTCTTTTCCTAACTTATGCCCAAGGGTCTTGTGTGATGGGTACTGAAAAACAGAATTCAGCAAACACAGCAAACACTGGGACAGTGCTTCAGCCAGTATAAACTGGCATTTCTTTAAAGGGAGTTTGAGTAATGACTGACTAAAACCATTCAAGGATATTCCTAGAAAGACAGTTGTGATATAATTTCCTAACACCTGTCAATGCCCTGAAAAAGCAACATCCTTTGTAATGAGAGAATAAATCATGCCCTCCATGCTGTACTAGCTCAGTTTGGATTCACTCCTGGCAGTACATTGAAAACTGTGGCAATTACTGCATGATGGGGATTTATTATGAGAAGCACAGTCCTTGAGGAGGTGAGGTGAATCCATTAGCTAATTTTCCATTGTGCCATTTAATCTATAAGGGAAGAAATGGCACCACCTTGCTTTTCCATCATAATTCTTCAAGATTTAAAATATTAATTTTTAAAAATGCAAAAAGGAAAAGTAAAGCAAAAATATTCAAGGTATTTAAACTTCAGATTTGTAAACAGCACCAGTTTTCAAAATCAATAATTACCCTTCCAAGTTGATACTCAAAAACTCCAAACCTTCTAGCAACCCATAATACAATACAGTGCATCAAAAGTCATTTTGTACATAATACACACACACACACATACTTACACAAACTATTCAGAAGTACGTATACTTCCATGTGCACATAATGTCCAGTAATTATTTAAATTTATTTTGAATTAGTAACTAACACTTCACCTAACAGACTCCCAACCCACAGGCTTTACATATGCAACCCCAGTAAATGCTGAGTGTTGCAGATAATCCTGCACATAAAAGAGGTGAAAAACCGATGTATCACAATTATAATTATTTGTTTAAACACCTATTTAGAGACACACACTTCTACTGTTACCATAATTCATTATATAGCAAGAGATGTAAAAGATAATAATGAGTAATTTATTAATGTACTAAAGGTTAATGTTTGGTTGGTTTTTTTCCCACACAAAAAAAACCTCTTTTCTGTGTAAATAATTCCTAATTATTCTGTTTAGTGGAGAAATAAGATTATTTATATCTTACCTTCAAGTACATGTTAGTGACGTAAGTCTACACCAACTTATTAGTCAGAAAAGTATCTATGACTAGTATGGTTATTCATTGTCAAAAACCACCACCACCTCAGACATTTATTATTCTACTCATCTATAACTCTAACAGCAATATTTTCTTTTTGTTAACCACTAAGCCCCACAAAATGTGATGTTTAACTCTGCAAATGACAGTTTCATTTTTAGAGCCTTAAGATCAGTATTCCCTTAAATTTACAAACCCTTTGCATTTGTCGGCTAGCACTGTCATTCCAGGTGCTTAATTAAGATAGTTTCTAAATTCAGCTTTCACTAAAGATAACCTGAATGTGAATGGGAGAAACGTTACACAAGTGTTTTGATCAAATGCTGTCCCATATTCCTCTGAGTCCAGCTAAAACAGATACTGTAGCTCAATGCAACTTTTTTAGAGGTGGTGTAGGGGGTGGAAATAATTAAAATGTTACCTTTGCCAAGTAATTCCCAATGTATCCTCACTGGCACTGGGGTATAAATGCCTGCCGTTTTGGTTCATGGTCCAGTCACAAAGTCTCAGCTGTCAATTGAAACCTAGCAGTCAGATATGGATCGAGCAGTACTACAGTCTTTAGTATTTAAATGAATACATGCAAACTAGCACTGTACATGGAAAAAGCCTTACTTTCCCAAGAAGTAACTATAAAAAAATAAAACAAATGAACAAAGAAAAATAACTTATTCTGAGAAATAAAGGCCTATAGATTTGCTTAAGATAATGCTTTTTTAATATGCTCCTTTATTAATAAGGCATAAAAGAGTAACTAGTATTTAGCACATAACAATTAGCCATTATTAGATTACCAACTGAGCTGAAATAAAAGGAAATGTTAATATTCAATAGCAAGATACTTTAAGAAAGGAAATAAAAATGCTATTTTCTCTAAGCAATGCACTATATAATGTGTATTAAGTCACATACAATCAATATCTTGTAGCATGCATTTTGTGAAACATAGAAGACATGCAATTTATAGAAAATTTGCCCAAATTAAACAAACTGTATGTCCTTATCTCACTATTTAAGAAGGGTAATGGTATTCTGTAATCAAAGTTTATTAATCTAGTGTTACTGAAAGTGGTATTATTTAGCAAGAAGTGATAAAACAACCTAATCTTGCTTCAGACTCAGAATAATCACATTTAAAATACTTTCTTGTATTTTAGTATAATGAGGACTGTTAGCTGAAACAAATTCTTCCCAGAGCCTCAAATCATCAGTTCTGCCTTCATGGATTTTTCAGGCAACCCTGTATGGTTCTGTTTATTTAACAGCTGTCCTATAGTGTTAGCAGATTTATTGAAATTATATACTGTTTATTTTTATGTGTAAGAAAGTTAACTTATCTGGCTTACGAAGAAAACATACATTTTAACCTCTGTATAGTCAAGCTGTATATAAGTTGTTTTACCATTATATATTACATAGCACTTCAAATTGAAGATAATGTCATTGCTGAGTTTAATTGCATTCAATGCATTTTAGTTTTCTCTATCTGTATTCACAGTCTTTAGATAGCACAGGCTACAGCAAACAAACTACAATAAACTATTTTCACAGGATACAATTAATTGCAGTCTTTTCCTGAAAAATACAAACGCTGAGGACAAGACAATATTGCAAATCTGACCTTGTCTGGCTGTTAGACTCGTAAGCTTCCTGCTGTTAAGGTCTGAGAAATGAAAATGTTAGTCTCTGATGTTTTCATAGGGATTGTTTTTTGTTTGTTATCTAAAAAACTCCAAGGGACCTTCTAAAGGCCATTAAAAGCATGACTAAACCACATGAAATTAACCAGAAAAGGAAACATGCAGTCAAAAAGTTTGCTAGACGTAACTGCAAATAATACATTAAGCATGTTTAAAAGGGGGGTAAGTAAATATTTGATTTAGTCAATATACACAACAGTACTGTAAACCTGATTCTAATATTGAAGTAATGGTAAAATATGTCAGCTTAGTTACTTGATGTACAGTAAATGTATTTCTGCTATAATCCTTAAGAATGTCATCTTCATTACAGATGCATATTTTGAAGCTTGGTAAGTTAACTATAAAAACTCACTTCCAGCTGAAACACAAGACTGAAAAGTTAAGCCCCCCCCCACTCTTTTCTTCTTTCAGAAAATATAAAATCTATGAATAAAAGTCCTTTGGCTGATGAGAAAAATAAAAAATACAGAAATCACAAACTTAGTTACCAAATTATATTATGCATTTAGGTCTAGCTGAAAAATCTGGCAAGCACTTGACTTGCTATAGAACTTGACTGTATTTGTTGTTTGGCTAAAACAGTAAGGAACTGATGACATTTTAATAAATCAGCTTTCTCTACTAAATATTCTTCCTACAGTTTGTATGAACTTTCCACATGTATAGGTAATGTGTTAAATTTATCATTAAGAAAGCTCAAAAAAGAGCTTTTCAAACCTATTTAATGAATGTTAGCATACTTCCTACTATATACAGTCACACATATAATGCATATAAGCATAGTCACACACTAAATGCATATAAATCTAAATACTGTAATGGTAATAATGGGGCATGTGCGTTTTATGTATATGTACTGTAGACACATATATGCATGAATATGAAGATTTGTGCTACACCAGACTTAAACTTAAACTTAGTGTGAACTGTAGTGCTATTCATTGCACCAACTATACCATACTTGGGGTACTGATACTGATACAGAACTGCAGGTCTGTATGACAACAAGCTCTCTGATAAGCTCAGCACTGTATCAGCTGTGCTGAAAACCACCTTCCCAATGTTAAAAACTATTGTTCCACACTCCTCATCAGACTTACATAGGTTCCATGTTGTCTTTAAAAACTAACCTGCCAGGAAAATGTTGGTGTTTTTTCTCCCTCACGTAAAATTTCCTCTCCTAAATCACTCCTGCTTAGAGATCAGGATGTCTGAGATTTAGAAATATACTTTCAAAAATATGTAGAAATATCATTTTCAAAGTCTGCATCTACATCCCTGATGTGTGTTGAGTGCTTTCTGGGTAAAAGGTTGGAGAAGCTTAACAGAGCTTTATGTGCCCTGGCTCCATCTGATGGAAGAAAAGTCTGTTAACAGCAGCAGCGGGAATGCTGCCCTTGCAGGATGTCCAGACAGCCCAGTAGGAAGAGCCTGGAGACACAGACCTGACATGAGTACTGAGCTTTGGAAGGATGTAGGGCACAGTGTTTGAAGCTCTATATGTTGTCTGGAGTCATGCTGAAAGCTATCTGGCTAGTTATAATCCTCAGAGTAGGTTAAGTGACCTCTAAAATCATGCCACAGTGGTAGCTGAAGATGAGAAAGCACATTCACTCTCACCCCCAGTAAGCCACCTAAAAGAGTTTCTCTGCAGGACATGTGAAAAGGAGAGGCAGGAAACTCCTTGAAGTATACTTGAGAAAGCTTAAATTCCTCAGTAGAGAAACTTAAGAAATAGTTCTTATGAGACTTCTAATAAATGCTGAAATACATTACTATCTTGTTCAAAAAAACGCTATGAATGAAAAATAAATGACCTGATTTGGCATGTAACATGGTAAAGTGTCTTTGCTAGAAGACTCTTGGACAGGCATGCTCTTCAATTCCACATCTTTGTCATTCTCAGCAAAGCAAGCCACATGAACTGCACTTGAATAACACCTTCCATTCACGAAACATTATCAATGATTTTTTAATTTATCTCTCACCTAACCACACAGAAAAAGAGCAAGGGTCTGTATTCTGAAGTGGCAAAGGATGCCTAGCCTTGCAGCAGATGGGGAAACCTCACAGGCAGCCAAGCCATTCCCTGACACATGATGCTGTCACAGTCCCTCATCCCTGCAGTACATCCTCACTGCTACACTCATCAAGTAGCAGAGAGCACAAAGCCCACTGCAAGTGTTTCTCCAAGGATCCAGTGCAACTCCCTCACCCGCCTCAACTGTGTCATGGAAAGAGACCATAGGCCCAGGCAGAAGCAGAGCAGTAGACTGAGTCCTTCTTCTAACTCTTTCACCTGTCTGAAAATCATCCACCTCCCTGCTCCTCTTCTGCCCTCTGTAAAATGCCAGGAAAACCATTTTGGTCTGCACTTTCCAGTGCTGTGAGATGTACTGAGGTGAAGTTCTACACAAGAGCTAGATTTCACTATAGCTGCTCTTTCAGTTTAAACTAGGCACCTTTCAAGCACAACCATCCTGCAGAGTTTTAAGTATGCAAATCCTTCATACATTAAAAACTCATAGTCAACATCTCAATCTATAATCATAGTCTGAAAAATTTTTATGGGTTATAATTTAAGCAGATTTTGTATTCTTCTATTTAAAGAGTAGCTAAGATTAACATTCATTTTAAGCTTATGTGATTGCTAGTGAAAGTAGATAGGTATTTTAGAAAGTGCTATAGCTTCTGTTAGTTGAGAAAAGCCCATAAAACTTAATATTTGCATATTGTCATTGTTTTGACTGAAACTTCCTTTAAATGTGTTTCCTTTCCAGCAAGCATATGTAAAAGGTGACCTCTTATCCATCTACATACCTCCCTGGTAGGCACGTGACACAGTTTTACGTCAAACTGTCAATTATGATAAGGAACACAATAAGAACAGCCTAAGTGTTGATAACCTGTTTCCTGGCCTTACTGAGAAGTTCTGTTTAAAGAGCCCACTTGTGTTCTTCTTTCAGCCTTCTACTGAAAGCAAAAGCAACATCCACCCAAAACACTTTTCAAACAAATACTATGTGTTCAGTGGACATTTACATTTACAATTTCCATGATGAATACTATGAAGATAACTGCATTTTGAACTTGATTATTCAATAACTAAAGGATGCATCTGGTAAGAACAACTTCCTACCACAGAAGCAGGGCAGCCTGGTGTGTAGGAAATAAAAAGTTATCTACAGATTTTCTGATTTTGCATTTTAGAGACCTGAAGTGCTTCTTATTACTATGTATCTGGCAAATTTCTCAGTCATAAATGTCAAAGCTGGATGAAAACCATGCATACCACACACCACACCCAGAAAGTCCAAGCTCTAGTGAAAATCATGCCATTGTATTTATCAGTGCCAAGACTGGAAGAGTTCACTAGCCCCTCTGTAATTGGGCTAGCATTAGTTAGCATAGTTTACTGTAACAGATAGGAAAGTGCTAGAGGTTTTTGTCTTCACAGACTTCAACAGCTATCCTGTTTAATTATATTTTCTAATTAAAAATTGAATCACGTATACAAGACTCCAAGATGCATTAAAAATAACAAAATAGCCACGATAGAAAAACCGTCAGTTATTTCATTCATGCCAACAGAAATCTGATTATCTATGAAACAATTAATCTGTATCTGCAATAAATACAAATGCCTATCTATCCATCCGTCCATCCATCCATCCATTGATCTATCTTTTTATATCGTTTTAACAGGTAAAGTACATGACTGGTATTTCTGGCAACATTCTAGCTTTATAGTCAGAAACAACATCAACCTGTCTCTAAGTGTCTGTCATTTCAAGAACATAATGAATTCATGAAGTTGAGAACAGTAACATAAGGAGGCTACAGAAAAGTAATCATATAGTCATGAAAATTCTGATCATTAAAGCTTTGTTACTGAACTAATGATATCTCAATTGAAATTATTTAGCTAGAAGAATTGAGACACAACTAGAATCCTGCAAGAGACTGTGCTCACTTGTAGAAGATTGAATTTGATTTGAATTTGGCTGTGTTTCCTCAGTTTGTTGCTTTTACCCCTAGTCTAGGCTTAGAAACCACAAATCTTCAGTAGACTCAAATCAAAGGAGGAGAATAAAAGTGCTCGCATATAATAGTGAAGATTATCCAACCTTTCTTTTATGCACAATACATTTAAGGGGTTTCTCAGCACAGATGATGTGCACCGAGTACTAGATTTGATTTCATAAAATAATCCCATCAACCATCAATAGTAAAATTAAGAAGAATTCTCTCACTTAGGTACTAGCTCTTATCACTTCCCTTGTTCCTTCCTATGGTGCCCTCCCTGCAGTTACATTAACAATACTTAACAACTTTCAGAAGTCGATGCTGAATCAAGAAAAGCAAACCAAGTGGTCATTAACAATTTGTAATAGACAGTTGGGGAGGTGGGTGACATGACTTTTTTACAACAGAAGTCTAAGATACATGTGACCCTCTAGTGCCTCTGAAGCAAGAGATATGTTTTGCAACTATTCATGTCACAGAATAGAAAAACCCGACATTTCAAGACAGATAACAGGAAGACCCCCCCCAGCAATCTCAGTAGAAAGTGGACTGCATAGTTATAATTCGTCATTAGAACTTTGTCTTCCTAACTATCAGCACAGTATGCTAAGTAATACATGTAACAGCATATTTTTCACAGTATCCAGATCAGTAAAAGCAAATAAATTCTCCCATTGGTGTTATTATGCACTGTCTTTCAAAGTTGTATTCAGTGCTTCACATCAAAATGTGAGTATACCAGGTAGATTGTGCTACAAATTGTTTACTGGAAGCTCTAGCAAACTATCACTTTGTCAAAAGACTCCATGGAAGTGCATGTTGCAAAATACATGTGCAACTTTTAAATTATGGTTCTTTTTAACAACCACAGAAAGTACTCAGTGGTACATGCCAATATTTCTCATAACCAGAGAGAATAAATCTTCATCAAGACTCCTCCAATGAAGTAAAAAATGTACCAGTGACAATATTTATTCTTGAGGGGTCAATGTGCATTACAGGTTATGGTGAATGTTTAAAAGACCTCTCTGGAACTAAAACCATTGGCTTTCTAATTTAGAATTTCTCTCTACTAATACAAAATGATTGATTGCCTTTATTTCATGTACCCCTTGATTTTTCTCTTCATTCATCATGGGCTGCTTTAAACCAAATGCATTTAAAATCTGACACAAGAAGAGTGCTTTCTTTTAAATTGTTGTAAAATAATGAAAAAACAAGTAAATCAATCTCATTCCTGCCTTACCAAAGGATAACCTTTGCTCTATTAAAGTTGTTTAGACAATCTCAGTCCTCTGCCTTACTTTCTGGGTAATAAACATATGTGGCACTGTCATCTCAGACATGCCTTTAGGATTTAAGTGAGTGAAGGTAATTAATTAATTAGAAACTTATATATACACACACATATATTCATATTTATCCATCTGAAAAAGCTTTATTCCTAAAGTACTCTGTTTTCGCAAATGGTTTCACCAGCATATATTATTCCCTAATTTTTCACATACTTATATGTGTAAGCATCCACACATACGCCCCCTGCAAACACACTCAGGCAGGCACACACGTTGCACAAATTAGAAAAGAATAGAGAATTCACAGCAAAGATGAAACCATGACACAATTTTTAAATTTACTGTATGGCTCACTGGTCACCAACTGATGCTCTTGAATTAATATAACAAGACTATGAAGCAATATACTTTAGAAGGGAAATCATTGGCTTCACCCAGTGGCATTGAAGAATTTTTCTGTTTATGAAGTGAGATCTAATTTATTTTCTCCTTTCCCCTAAGCCATCTGACCACGTTTTACCATGAGAGGGAGTATAAGACACAGTGCGTGTAAACAACAAAGACTGTGATGACTGTTGAGATCTCTCTCACTTTTATGTTCCTATGACATTATTGAAATCTCCAAATTTATTTCCATCTATACAAAGATAAAAATATCTAGAAGATGCATGAAATAACCAATATATAATTTACATGTCATACATTCAGTCAAGAGAATATTAAGTGTGCTGCCACTACCTTCTGGCACGTGGCAAGAGGTTTGTAACTCTTTCAGTGAACTTGGAAGAAGGTGGTGTGGGCTTAAGCCATAGCAAATTTGCAGAAAATAACTGTGTCTAAAAACATGCAGTGAAAAAAAAATATATTGCACATCTCCAGATTAACTGGATGTCAAATACTTTTCAAAAGCAACTGTGTAAAACTTCAAATGAAAAGAAATCCAATTACATGCATTGTGTTTAAAAAGAGCGTGTGTGTTTTAAAATACAATAAACATATACTGTGTATCTTTTTAATATAACCATGATATAGTAATTATAACACATTTCATAATACAGCATTCTTCGAGATGTTAAAGAAAAGCAATACACCAGAAAATTTACTGAAAAATGAATGGTTGGCAACACCACTAATTCTCACTTGGTATTTTCATAAAAGTGTACAGATGTTTCCAGTTAGGTCTCACTGGTTAAAAAAAACAGTTGGCAAAGCATCAACTATCTTGAATAAATGATCATCTTTGTGATTTTCTCTGAACTCTGCATGTGGTGACCTTTAAAATGGACATGGTGCCACCTTGCCCTGGGAGTGCGTAGGGATAGAGTTTTCCAGAGGAAGCACACTTCAGCTGTATCTCAGCAAACACAGAACAGGTAAGTTTTACTGAAAAATGAAACAGACGTGTAACAACTGCTGACAGGAACTCAAGCCTGACAAAAAAAATACAGTACAATAAATACCAAGGACTATTTAACAGCTCTTTTCATTTCATTTCAAGCCACATTCAGCTTTTTTCCTCATAGCATTTTCCTTATAACATTTTACATGCTGTTAATTTCAAAGTCCTCTACTGTTAAGATCTAAGAAGAACCCATACACACGTCATAAAATATGCTAAAGTTCCAAAAGGTGTGAATTCCTGTTACTAGCAACGTAGCATTTCCGTTTATGTATGGCCTTGCTACAGACTGCAGCTAATTTGTTTGTAAACCATCATTAATCTCAGCTGTATACTTTCACAGTTTGGGTAAACACTTCATTTGCATTAAATTTACAGCATTAATGAGATGTGAAATTTAAAATGCTACTTGAAATATAAATTATGTAAGAAACTAGAACAAAAAAAAGTGGATTTATCGCATTTGAAATCAGCAGACCAATTTAAACCTATTAAACTAGGAATGATGTGTTGCATTGAGAATTTGATGTTGCAGATCATCTTCTAGAACTAAAATGAAGAAATGTAGGCTTAAATATCTTGGAGGAAAAAAACACAATAGCTTGACAATAATAACTTGGACTTTTTGCTTTGGAAATTTTACTTTAAATTTGTATTTGTTCCTTATACACTTCATTCTTTTTCCTAAAATCCTATTAAAGATTACATGTATGAGCTCTTGAAAAAGAAAGTAATTGAAAGAAATACTATGAGAAGTTCCTTAAGATGGCACAAATCTAAGAATGGCATATGCTAAACTGATGTTTCTTAAAGGATTCAGTTTTGTTTTGAATAACCTTCATCTTCAGATGACAAATACTGAAACCCTTAGGATCCCAGTCTAATCCAACATAACAGTGGCAGCATGTAGGAAGGTAACATCACAAAAGCTTCTCTATATCATTACACCTATGTGAAACTTGCCCACCTGTTGCTGGTGTAGGAAGGATGGGTCTCTTGGGCTTAGTCCCACATATCGACTGGCCTGGGATGTGCCTGAGGCTGTGTAGGCTGATTAAGGAAGAACAAAACAGATTGATAAAAATACCAACCTATCATTACTATTAGCCTGTGCAGGTATAGTACAAATACGAGCGATCCAGAGTCATGATTTTGCAGTAAATAGGATGTGTCTGTGTTTTTCCTTTATTTAAACTTTAATAGAATGCAAAAGAATAATTGGACCAAGTTTGAAAAGGCATGAATAAATACCTATAAACTTCAATGGAAGCTGCATGTCTAAATCATCATGATGTATCTTGTTAAATATAATTTCCTCTGATTAATGTATATTTATTTTTTAAGTGATTAAATAAGGTATGTATTGGAAGGAATCAGAAGCCTGATTCTCATTTCTATTACACCAATCTAAGGCACCAGTGAAATCACTGATATTACAATGTTGAGAGAAAATATTATTGCACGCTTATTCTTACTGCTGTGAAGGTCCACCACAAAACTGTAAAAGAACAACAAAAACTGGAATAAAAAGTTCAGTTTACCTATGTGGAGTGAAATGAATCTTTACAGGCCTTTGGAAACAGGATGTAATCTGATTAGTATTTTCATGAGAAGGGAGTTAATTTTTACTATACAATATAATATTAAATATTAAATATTCAACCTCTATATGCATCAGGAAACAACATATTCCCAGGGGGACAATTTAAGGAAGTCTCTCACTGTCTGCTATAGAAGATTAAGGAAATAAATTTCTGAGGAGAAAGATAATAGTAGATGCTGCTGACATTAGTTACAGGATATATATCCTTCACCTGTAGGTAACATTCCTGTCTAGTCTTTGCCAGTAATCCCTAAAAACCATAGTCCGCTCATGGATTTTTGTGGCAATTATGAAATAAGGTAGGTGGTCTCACTCTACTCCCCAGTATGAAGAGGTCCACACTGCAACTTGTAACATCACAGCCTGGAAACCTGCTGGCAGGCAAAGCAAAACTACTAAAATCAAACAGACATATACAAGGATGCCAGTGAGGATCTAGATGGGAGTACGTACTGAATTGGCCACGTAGTATTAAAGTCACACAACAAATACAAACCAATTAAATCCATTAAATTAAAAAAATATACTTTATACTGTAAACATGATTTACTGAAAAACTGTCATAAAAATTAATTAATTATTAGAACAAAATTATGGTGAAGGCTACAGGGTACCCTAAATATCATCAAAGCCTGCTGTTCTTTCTCATTTAAAACAATTCTGCTACTGCATTTCAGAATGGAAAGCAGTGCTAATCGTTTGCCATTTTATTCTTAACAGACTGAACAATAATGATAACTTGTTGGCCAAGCATATGTTTTATATATATATGTCTATATATATTTTGAACCAATCAATTTGTTATTGCAAATAAAAGTAATACTATGCCTTAAAATATATTTGGTCTTGATTTTCCCATGAAGTTAGCAACAGCAGTCTGTGTGGCAGGTCTATTATGACTGATAATACAGTTTAGATGTATTAATATATAATTTATGTATTAGCAGGACTTGATCCCTCATTTTTTGTGATTTTCTGCATCAACAAGCTCTGTTCCTTCACCTTTTTTTCTCTTACAGTTACCAATCCAGTTTCAAAAGGCTTTACCAAGCAGACAGACTAATGCACTGCTCTGAATAATGTAACACTCTGGACATGTAGCATTTATACTCTACCTCATGCGTAGAAATAGAACATTCAAATAAAATTTGTACATAGGGGTTTTTTATTTTATTTACATGCTATAGTGACAGACATTGGATCTTTAAGCAAGAGCAGGAAATGGAAACATAAGGAGTCCTTATTTCAAATATCTAAGCCAAGATGTTCTAAAATTCACAGGAATCAGGTAACCAAATTCCAATAAATCACATGAGAAACTGGGTGCAAACTTCATTTGAAAACATAGTCCAAAAATTTCCCTTAGTAGTACTACAATGAACAGATCACGTTTGTTTTCTGGTAAGGATGAATTATAAGGTCAGATTACCAAAAAACATTCCAATGCAGTTCTGACATTGTATTTGTTCTTTTTGCTCTTTGTATTGAAAACCCTGACCTTATCTGAGACAGCTATTTAGGCCAGACAAAATTATGTCAAACAGGAAGCAGAATGAAACCATGAATATTTGAAACTATACAGGAACTCAGTTCTCTGTTTTCTACTCTGGACCAGAAATTTAGAGCAACAACTTCTTGTCTGCTGCTAAAACTATCTCTTTTTAAAAGGTGCATGAACTGTACCACAAACCACCAGGAAGGATACACATACACTCTATCACCTCTAACAAAACTTCTGCAATACTAAAAGAACTGCTAAAATTCTTCCATAAATCTATTCATATAATTATTTGTTTATACTTAAACGATACTTTGTCCAAAAGTTACTACTATCCTTTTATAATAAAGGCGTAACCGGTCTTCTACTTTTACATCTCAGCCACTCCTATGCATTTGAGTCTCATCTCTGCTTCACATTTTAATGAAGATATTTACAGTAGTATAACAGCTAAGAAACATACAGTTTATGATCTTCATTAATGGCAGACCAAAAGTTATGGACTGGATTCACAGTTTGAATACTAAATAGGTCTAAAGTAAGTAATTTTAATGTAACCCCAAAGATATTAATATTTTTAAAAACTGGTAAGTTTTCTTCCAAAGAAGTGTCTCTTAAAAATCTTCACCACTCCGATACACACTGGTAACACTGGCCATCTCAAGTCCAAATAAAAGTTCAGAAGACAGCAGAAATGCAGAAAGTAGTTAAAAAGCAACATTCTGCATCACTAAGCATAAGATGAGTGTTTGGAAGAGAAGAAATTACTCTATACATTGTAACACAACTCTTATTTCCAAAACTGCAATTCCATTGAAGATAATAGGATAAATAGTATGGTCCTATATAGCAATCAAGAGCTTAAAATGTTAGGGTTTGAGTTGGGTTGTTTGTTTGTTTTTTTAAAAAAAGAGCAGTGGATCTACCATCCATTGCAGCAATGACAAGGAATTGGACTATTCTTTTGCCACATCAGTTGTTTTTGCTATAAATGACACACCCTATATCAACATGCAGTTGTCATAGCTCGGATTCAGTATGTGTTATATCAAGGCTTGATTTCTATAGGAAAGCTCATTGAGGAGCAAATTATCCAATCTGTGTTTGGAATTCCATCTGTAGGTCATTGTAAAACCTTGCTGTCTGGGTGTGTTTCTCAATGTCTTAAGAACGTCCACCTTAGATGAACAACCATGTTTTCTTTTCCTTGAATAGTGGTCAAATAGGCAGGTTTTTCCCTTTCATTTTGGTTCCCATGTCACAAACTTTGGTTCATGTAACATGATGCATTGTTTGAAATACGCAGAGGAAAAGCTTTGCAGTAGGATCACATTTGCTCTCCATGTAAAATGATGAACATCCACTTGGTCAAATAGTAGGAAAAGGCACCTTTTTCTGGCCTTCATTTGAAATCATATTGAATCTTTGATGGACATTTTTTGTTTCCTAAAGAAATACTTACTGGTTGCTGTAGGTGAAGATGCCTCACCTTCAGTGGATGTAGTGATGGGCTTAGTATCTGTCATGTTCAGGGTCACAGGTCGCACCGCACTGTGATGGGGAGAGGGTGCCAAAACTGGAGTAAAATGCCCAGGCAATTTCCCTACTACTTGACCACTGCTGTTAGGCTACAAAACAAAACCAAAAGAATGCCTTGTGAAACATACACATTGTCTTTAATGAACCTACCCACCTATCTCAGGGCTTTCCAGAATGCCCATCACCACAGTATCTGGGTGCTGCAGTGTGCCGTTCTAACAAAGCCAAGAATTCCTGTGTGATATTTTCAGCAGGCAGATAGACAGTACATGCCTAAATAGCAGCATGTTTTGGTAAGCTTTCTTTCTTTCTGTATGCTGCGTACACCAGATTCTTTCAAAATATATTCGCTTTTCATGCAGTGGCTGTGAACCACAGTAAATCCCATGATAGCAGGATTAAGCTGACCAGGCATAGGCCCTAATGTAGAAAGTATTAAGAGTAAATGAATTATGCAAAACCTCTGTTTTCACATGCCATACCACTCTGGCTTGGAGCATAACCAAAACTTGACCACAGTTGTCCACAGAGATTATGCACACTGGAAAGCTAACTAATAAATCACATGTTTGGAAATGGGGGACAGGGTTAGGATACGATGCCCTATAATGTACGTGTCATAACATCTGGCTAAAAGTCAACTACCAAAAACACAGAAGTGTTTAATAATGGGAACTCTGCAAGTCAAGACCATAATAAACAAAGACACTTCTTTCATAGATAGAAGAGGCAGTCTGCATATGACCTTAAGTACAGGACATCAAGGTAATATGCTTTCTTCGTATAGGCACATCTGAATTTGGCAATGTGCACTGGTAAATGTATATGTTTATCCAATGCTTAAACATGTGTTAGACATACTGAGTGACTGCAAATACTCCAACGGTAAATAACTTGCAGTAAAAATTAACAAGTTGTAGTTTTTTCAACAGTGACTGATAACTTTAGTCTCAAACTGAGTATGTGTTCTGTGAACTGTAGATGTTTTAAAATACAGCCATACAAAGCAAAAACTAGTAGGAATCTTATCATCAGAAGGATCTTGCAAATCTGAGATAACTCAGGGTAAAAAAAATGGACTGTTAAAGAACCTGAGTCAACTGATAGAGCACAGGTTAAAAGAGGTAAGCATAACTATAGTAACAAACTAACTGGGCTGAGACAGTATGTGCAAGTATGTGCAGAGTATAAGCACATAGAAGAGGAAGGAATTATTTGGAAAGTACTGGAAGTATAAATTCAGTGTAATGGAATTAAATTGATAGGAAGAAAATTTAAAATTAATAGCAAGAGAAACTTCCTGGCAGTATGATCTACTGGACTTTGCAAATGCCCGCAAGAGAGAGACTCGTTCTTTAGGACATTTAAAACCAAGTTAGAAGAAAACTCTAGAAAATAGAAGAGCAAATGAAGAGCAGTCTTGTTCTCATAGGAACATCAAGCATTCAGTAGACTTACTCTCTCTAAAATCACAAGCATTACAATGAAAAATACCAATAAAAATGTACACTGATAAGTGTCCAACAAACTACCCCTCTAAATTAAAAAATCACTCCCTAGACATAACTGTATGTTTGGGGGATGCTGGAGTGGGAGTGGGGACAGAAGAGTCATGGAATCCCAAGATCTTGCAAATATAGAAATTGGGTGGTATTTACCACTTTTTCATTCATGTTCCTTGATGCGTAATCTGAGAAGTTACTAGTAGGAGTTTAGTAATGGGAATAAGTATCAGCAGTCAAAGTAGCTTCAAAATAACAAAACAGCACTGATTCAAACAAATGACAATACTTTCACAAATAACACAATTTCCCCAAATAACTGGCTTGCTACATAAAGTTTTACTCACTAGGTGAAACTTGACAGTTAGATAGCTCTCCCTTATTATGTGTACTTGAAATGAAAATTAGATGTGGCAGAATATATACCAGACAATTTTAGAGACTAACATGGCCTCAAAGTTTACTGAGCATTTGTGTGCATGCTTACATGACAAACGGGTCATAAGTGGGGAACTCAGTAATTACAGAGGCCTTTCCTCAATAATACAATTTACATCATTATATTACAGCAGTCATATATTAAGTATGTGTCAAAAAGTCCACTTCCTTTGAGGTCTATCTAAGTGGTTTAGGGAATCTTGTTTTGTGTGCTCTGTTTTCAAGGCCTGCCAGCCTCCAAAACTAAGTGTTTTGGTGACCAGAAATCTGACTCCACCTGCCTTAGAACAAAATCAAAATTTTAACTAAGATAAATTTAGAAAATCTCCGAGTTCCCTAAATTAAATTACCCATACAAATGATCCAAGATACTCCAGAACTTAGAGGCAAGTTTCTCACTTGCTGATACAAAGTTCAACTCCAGACATCTTAATGTTGCAATAAAACTGGCTCATCATAGGTAAGGAAGCCATGACACAGTCTGAAGCATTTGTGGGAAAAACTGTCAGAAATATAGGTGGGCCTTAGGATAAACTTTTCTCTAAAACATCAGAAGTCTTGTCAGTAAGAGCTGCTTGCTCTGCTGGAGTGGATTTTCGGCATGTTTCTGGGGCGCCTGCTGCAGATGCGTGCCCCCTCTCCTGCCCTGGCAGCCCAGCTATCCATACAGCCTGCTTGGAGAGACCATCACTTCTCAGTTGTGTCTGGTAGCTCCTAGGTGGAGTCAATGACCTGAGACCACAGGACTACCTTAGGAGCCTTAGCTCATGTGGTGTGCTAACATATCACAAAAAGAACCGAGAATCCCTTACCAAAATGACCAACTTTTATTAAAAAGTAATACTGAAGATTCCAGGGAGTTTATGCATTAAAACAGCCAGTGTCATCAGCTTCTAAAAGCAGCTTTGTCTCCAAAGACAGACTTAAGAGTTAGGACACAGCTGGAGACCAGGAAAATTTACATCAATTTATCACCTTCTATTGTTTCCTAGTGATCCTGGTCAACAGGAATGTTCACAGCTTAGCCCTTGTGCATGGGGTCCAAATGAGCAAACCCTTTCCTTGTTGAGTTATAAGAAAAACAATATACTTATAACCCATTCTTCTGTAAACCATGTTTTTCCCTGTGCAATGCAAAGCAGTAGTGCAGTACAGCACCCCACTTCATCTAAATTGAGGGTGAAATCCTGGCCTTGTTGAAATCCATGGGGATTTTGCTAGTGCTTTTAGTGGATGTGGTTTGTGACCCTCTTCTCCAACCCAAGTGTCTAAACTTCTATTTCTTTTCCTTTTTTAATGTCTTCTTAAATAGTAGGCATTGTTCCATATCTGTCCTACATGTAAAACTGAGTACAGGCACAATAGAATGAAACTGAGGACTGCAACCTCTAGACATAAAATTAAAACCTTTGAAGTAAGAGAAGGGAAAACTTATTATTTCAGTAAGTGTAATTCTATCTGACGAGAAATAGCCCTTTGAAGGTGTCGATTCATAATCTTACTGAAAACTGGCTAGAAATAGCTTCTGTGACCTGTATTTCTTTCAACTTCTGCAGTTATCTCAAAAGATATTTAAGCATGGCAACTACCTATTTATTTAGACAGTATCCACTTGAATTACAAGTACAAATATTTATAGTGCACCATTTAATACAAATTAATTATGGCCTTATTCAAAACAAGTTCTAAGTTCTAATTCCAAATCTCCCTGAAGAGATTCTTACAGACAAATGCATTACAGGTGAAAAATCAACTGTTACCATCAACTAGGGCATCAATATGTCTGTGTGATGGATTCACAAACAGAGAGATGATGCCTGAGGCATAAACCTCAAGCAAACTGCATGGAGGCAGCTGTGTTAGATAAACAAGCTGTGCATTTGAAAATGGGAGAAGGAAAGAAGCAAACGCAATGAAGGCCTGGCAAATTTAGCCCTAATTTATGCACATATCCATTTTTCTGTTGTTGGATTGGAGGCTACTTTGATTTTCAGATCTGTGTTACATTTTCTAGCTTTTTAACTCACACTATCTTGAATTGCCACAGATTAATCCATTCATGTGCCCAAAGTCACAGATGAGTCGTATTCACTCTCATAACTGTAGCATAACTCAGATTGTTAGACTGTTAATACCTGATTGTATGCACTACACACAATTTCAATTAATCCTCAGTTCTGAAGTCTGAACAAAAACTTAGAACAGATATGAATACAGTATTTCTTAAAATCAGAATTCACTATTCCTGTTTTTCCTGCTGTGATTTTACTAAGATATTTACAATCAGTAATTAGTCAACCTCCTCTCAGACTTATACTCACATATTTGCCCAAACATCAGCACATTTACACCTTAGTTGTTCAGTTACATTTTAGAACAGTGTTTTGTCATTTAGCTCACTACTTCCAGCATTAAAAAAATCTTACTGATGCTTCAGTGAAATGGCAGCACTAACATCTACAGATGAGATATCCAAACACAACAAAATTTGACATACGTATTAAACAGTTCACATAAACTATGATGTTAATTATGCACAGCATTTTTTTTACAAAATAATTGTAATTATAATTTTAAATTCCAAATAAAATAGTTCCAACTTTCATTGGACTACGAATTACAAAGCCTCTTCAAATAAATAATCATTAAAGGCCAGAAATCATCTTAATTCTGTGCATGTCCTAGATACAGCTATATATGATACTGTGTTAGGTAATGAAGAAATAAACTTCAGGGATTAATAAAAATTACATCATTCTAGATATCCACCACACTTGGAGAACAATATTTACATATCAAAATGCAGGTTTTCCAATAGAAACTCTGTGTTTCCTGGTAAGGTTATCTTGTTATAGCCAGCTGATCAAACAGAATGCATTTTAGTCAAATTGGATTCAGTGTGTTTGGAAAACATTCATTGCTTATCAACAATTCCAGTCCCTTGTAATGGCTAATTTCAGTGAAGAATATAACTGCAAAGCCCTGTGTCAATGTAATTTTAAGACCATTGATTGAATTAATTTTTTTGATGGAGCTGTAGAAGATCACCCATATTTTGATCCCCTGTTTACCTACCAAATACCTTGTTTTAGCAGTTGTCTAGTAACCACATCTATGAACCTGGAGATCATAGTTGGTAAGTTCTGTCT